AGATTGCAGGTATTACTGCTTCTTCCTAGACAAAAAGGACAGATGAATGGTGGTCGATTTGTTTGGGGTTTCTTCCATTTTTCTTCTTACTTTTAAGAATAGCCAGGATGTTCATTGTTATAAAATAGTTGTAACTATTTCTATAACTATATAGAAATCTTCAAAAATGCCACTGGTGACTATTAAAGCATTTATAAATATACTTCTGTAATTTGAGGTATATATAAATTTTAAACACATTCTTAATTCCAATTTCTCTGCGCAAATTGAACCTCATTTGTTCTTATTCTGCATTTCCTAGTAAGTATAGTAAAACAACCTGATGAAAATCAACATTTAGGTTTATTTCAGGGGTAGGAGAGATACTGTGACTTGCTGTTCAAGAATTTAGCTTGTTTTCCATTTACTCTGCTAATTATCTGAGACATCTAATCAAGTTTAGCTGTATAAGTCAGAAATTTTGCATGTTTGTGCATAGAAGAGAAAACAAAAACCGGAGGCAAACATGCATTTGTTCACAGACCTGTGAACTTCTTTCTTGATCTCCATTCATTCGAGAAACACAATATCATGGCACTGATGTCACAGCAGATGATGTAAGCATGTTCTCTCTTCTGCCCCTGCCCCTTAATCCTGGTGACAATGAATTATGTCTGTGAGGGAATAGATTCAGATTTGAATCAGGATTTTTGTTTGGTTGCATATATTTTAATCTTCAGTGAAAGGGTCTGTTTTTATCACTAAAAAGCTCATGTACATTGTACAACACGAATTTACTTTTTTATAAATGCTTCTACAGGGTGGTTCAGGAACCTGAGTCTGAGTCTCTCTGGGCTGAAAATGTCTCTTACTGTGGCAAAGGCTTTCTAGGTATGTCAGGTGAAGTAGGAACCATTCAGAATGATGTACTGTCATCTGAAAAGCCAGTTTTTGAATCTCAGCCGCTCTGCTGTGGGTTCCTTTGATGGATGAAGGAAAAATGTGTTTCTAAACCTATTTTGCCTACTGAAAGAAAACAAAATCATAGCATCGTAATCAGCAGAGCTCTGTGTGATGGTGAGACCTGCAGTTTATCAGCTCTGCTCACATGAATAAGTATCACTTCAGTCAATGGGGATTCTTATAAAGGCAATCTGCAGGTTTGGAGATAAATCAAGCAGCTAAAGAGGCATTAAAAATGTGCAAGGATGGCAGAAAGATACAAGCAGTTTAGAATATATTTAGCTAGCATATAAAAAGAATGGAGCTTGAAGCTGACATGGTTTTAATATAATGAATGCTACAAGTTTCCCTCATACCATCACCGCAGTGAGATGGACAGGGAGATTTAAAAAATGGTGTTGAAAATGAAAAGCTTTCGATTTTTTTTATTTGGCTTTGAGTTTGCTCTTGTCATTTATGAGATGGCAGGTGAAGCACAGGGAGCTATTAAAAATATAAGCAAGTCTTGTCCTTTTGAAATGGAGTTGGATTTTGACAGCAGTGTCACTGTTGGTAGTGAATAAGAATAGTGATTTTGTTACAGGTATAAACAGTAAAAATAAAACACCCAAAATAAAACCAGTGGTTCCCTGTATATTGTAGTGAGAATATTTAAAAGATTAAATAATTACAATGTATCACAGGTACTAAACCTACACTACTTTTTTCATACACAACTTACTGTATTTAATATTATAATTTCTTGTTTGTTTAGGTAAAAAAGGAGATAATCAAAGGAATTATTTCTCCTGTATTTCCAGCGTGTTCTTACATTTTAGCTAGAAAGAAATGTAAATCTTGAAGATGAGGGGAACTTTATTTTCCACTGTAAACTTCATCTGGTTGGGAGCTGTGACCATGCCCAAAGTGAGGGATCTGAGTAGACTGCAGAGGGTTGTAGGGGTGAGTGTCTTTCCAAACCTTAAAAGTGTAAATGTCACAACTGACTAAAGACATTAGAGAATGCTAGTATGAAAAGCAGTTAACAAATTTATTGTTTAATGTGCAAGGCAGCATTCTTAAATGTCATAGAGAAATAAAATATGCTAGTGAGCCATATAAATTCCTAGTGCAGCTGTACAGCCCTTTGACAGTTGAACCAGGATTATATTCTCCCAGTTGCCATCTAGAAAAAAAAAGGTTTTCTTTTACTTGTAGTAAACAGAAGGAGACATATATTAAGATGGATATCTTGGGGGAAACTTCTGAGAATTTAACTGTGAACCATGCTGTGAGGCCATGCCCAAAAATAATCACAAAACTGGTACCCAAATAGAAATGTAAAAAACCCCAAAGTAGTTTAGACAGATGAGCAGCTCACTGCATGAGCAGTGTATGTTGTTTAATTTGCTTTTACTGAGTCTGTTAACGCTGCCTTTCATAACATCCTCATGAGCAAAGTGGTGTAAAGATCAGGTAAGTAAAACGTGCAATTGATTGAAAGCTGGTTGAGCAGCCAGGCTTAGAGAGCTGTGATTGGTGGCACAAGTCTGGTCACAGGTCAGTTTTTATTTGCGAAACCAGGGGTCCATAAGGGGACCGCTGTTGAATTATACCTTCATTAATTACTTGGATGATGGTACAGGGATGATGGACCTAGATGATCTCTAAGGTCACGTTCAACTCAAACTGTTATATTATCCCATCATTTTACGATTCTGTAGTCTAATGATTCTGTGATTGCTTCTCTGATGCTATGAATTGTGCTGTCGAGCTAAAGAGGACCAGCAATTTTCTCAGGTGCACTGGAAAGAGTTTTGCCAGGAGGTCAAAGAAAGTAATCATTCCAATCTACCTCAAAGTTTGCCCAGAGAATCTTGGGGGTCTGAATTTTTGAAACTACTCAAAACACATCTGGGTATGGTCTTGAGCAAACTCATCTACCTGACCTTGCTTTCAACAGAAGATTGAAGCAGAGAATCTCCAGAGGTCCCTGCTGACCTCAACATTTCTGTGATTCTATGTCCATTGTCAGACAAACTCTTTATTCTAGCACATTCTTCTCTGTGACCAGATGCCTTTAATATGCTTACAATGTGTTAAGGCCACAGGCATTTAAGAGTTGTTTTTTTCAGTATGCATAGGGGGTTTTTTTCAATCACAATACCTCAGTCTTCACCAAGACTTTCAAAGAATAATAAATACAATAAAATGAGTCTTTTAGAAATTATGGATGAGTATTTCCCTCTGGTATTGTTGATAAATGTTTTCTAGTAGTTGTAAAGATCACTCTTCTGTGCGGTAGAGGGAGGGTTAAAAGATGTATCTGCAGTCCTAGAAGCCCAGGAGATGTTCTTGACACTGGGCAGAATCACACTGAATAGGATGATAAAGATGTAAGATTCCTCACTACTGCTGTCACATTTCAGAAGGAGTAGTTTCTGTCTGTGGTGTCCTCTAAGCTATCAATTCAAATAAGGTTGAGTTGTGAGGAAAATTCTAGACAAAAATTAGTGAACATTGATAAGTGAAGAAGCAGTAAGAGGAAGAAGAGGTGCTGAGGGGTACTTCATAAATATGCTCTAAGTCAAATAGACTTACTTGAGAAGATGTGAAGCTTTCTGTTCCTATAATCATGAAATGAAATAAAACCTGAAGAATCTGTATTATCTTTGATTCTTGTGCTTTGGAAAGCAAAATAAATTCCCTCATAAATGTTAATTCATTTAAAAAAAAACAAGCACTTTTACTGTTTAGATAATTTAGTTTCTCTATGCATGGACAAAACTTGAATATATGAGTGCATTCCTACAATAAAGCCAGTCACAAAGAAAACAAAGGTATAAATTATTTTTTAATATTATAATATGGATATTTTTGTATGTGTCTGTGGGCAAATGCAGTGCATCTTGGTTACATATGCATTATTTCAGATTTTCTATGCCAAACTGATAGAAAGAAAAATGTCTGTTGATAAGACAAAAGGTCTTGAATTAATTGTTGCACTCAGAGAACAAAATCCACTAGAACACCACAGTACTTTCACTTTCAAAATATTTTTTTTTGTCTTTATAAAAAAAGTTATCACATAAAAGTGCTGCAGAGTAAAGATCAGCCTCAAGTGAGGTGGAATTCCAAACAACAATCCACAGCAACTTACTGATTTTTGGTCGCCCTTAGCTGAATTTATATTCATTCAACTTTTGACCTTTTCCCATATTCCACTGTTTCTAGAGGTCTTCTTGAAAGTTCCTTATTTTAGCACAAGATAAATTATTATCATGGTATATTAAAAGTACTGTAAAAAATTAATTTTTGAATGTTCAAACTAATCATTGCAAAAGTGGAAAACAAGAAAAGTTTCCCTTGACACTAGAAAATATTTAATTATTGCATGTAGCTCAAAAGACTTGTTAAGTCTAGGACCTTATTTTACATAAAGTGAGAATACATAAGGATTTAGAACTTTAGCCAGAATAAATTGAAATAAAACTTCAGTCAACAACATGTATAAACAAAGTGCCTACTTCAGGAATTTTATGAAAAATTCTGATGATCATTAGTTTATAAATTATATTTATAATATAAATGAATCATCTTTTGCTACCTTCTTGAGGAACTGAAAGAGAAAAGAAAGGTGAATTTTCTGGTGCTATTCCAAGCACATCACAGAATTCAGATTCAGTGAGATTACTAGTAGATTACAGTGAGATTACATGTAGCTGATGAAAGATGAAACATATGATAACAAATTATGTACACAGGAGCCTGTGCTTCTATTTGGGCTGTGTTTTCTTCTCCTCTCTGAAATTAAGACACATACTGGGGATATTCTATTATTTAAGTGAGTTGCTTGTCTTGTGTCTTGTAAAATGAGGGAAAAACAAGCATTTATTTCCAATCCTCTCGTTTCAAATTTGTTTAGTGAAAGTCAGAGTAACATGTTTGTGCCACCAAGAAAATTGGATATATTCAGTCCGAAAGGGCAGTTTCCAAAGTGCAGCTGTTTATTATCTTTTATCTTCTATCTTACCTCTTCCCATTCACAAATTTCCTACTTTTCTTTCTTTTGTCCAAAGTTTTATCCAAGAAACAGTCTCTACCTGCTCACTCAATTGTGTTAAAATTCAGCTGCAACATGCATGAGATTTGTGACCTTGTATTATTAAAAGTGGTAAGACTAAACACTGCCTATGTACATATATACTCTATTTGATTTCTATTCCTCTTCTCCTTCACTTTATGTGCTTGGTAGCCACTGTTGGTCACCATTTGTATTTCCTTCCCCAGAAGAAGATGTATTAGAGATAAAAGTTTTTATTTTGATCTTTCACAATGTGAAGAGGAAGGATCATATCCACAATTGTTGCAAAGCTAATAAGCTTTAGGTGAGGAAAGCTCCAGATGTCTGAGCAGCAGGTCCCAGGAACCTTTCCTCTTCCACAGCTGGATTGTTCTCCTTGGGAAATTGAGAACTCCCTGGGAGACTTATTTCATATTGGACACAGTGTCGTAAGTTGTTGCCAAGGCTTTCTCTTCCTGCACTGTCATTTTTGGATGCTGAATCCTTTAAGCTGTACAAAATCCATGTTTACTTTCCTGTCTTTTGGAACAAAGTTCAATATGGCCACTACTGCACAAAGGAATGGTAGAAACTGACAGATGTGCCCTAAATTTTCACATAGTCACCAATATCCAGAAATGCCTATACTCCTCTGAATAAGATGAAATCTGAGGAATGTTATCCCCTTTCTTCCTCTCCACAGCTGCTTCTGTCCTTCAGGGGATGGCATGTCAGCCTCATGCAGGCTTCTTTCCAGCAGCCACTCATCTGCTGCTTCCCCTGCTCCCTAATGAATGTCTTTCTCAGTTTCTACAGCAGCCAATTCCAACCTTATTCCTGAGCAGCTGAGTGAAAATCACAGCAGGGCAAAGCTGAAGTCAGCTGCTGCTGGCATCAAGGCCATCCGGGCAATGGGACATGGAGAAAGATGGAAAATACTGTCTATGTTTAGGGCAGCTGCTCCTTGCTGGCATGCAGCGTAGTAGGGCCAGGGCATGTTTGTACACTCTGTGATGACTGTGGGAAACTCAGTCTATCCCAGCCAGAGTAGCCCTTTTACAGCTCTTAGCACTGTAGAAATTGTTTGGTTTTTTCAGCCTGTGAATAAAGTTAAAGGGTGTTGAATTTATTTCACTATCCAAGACTGTGTTTCACTGTCATCTGGAAGGAAACCCCCTGATTTTTTACAATGGAAAAATCATTTCTCGATGAACAAATAACCCTAAAACTCCCCATCCCCATATTCTAACTTCTTTGTTGCATGTATTCCAAGTATTGTGCTAACCGTCGTAAAACCTCCACCTTGAGCAGGGTTGGCCTATATAGCTTTCAGGTTTTTATATTAGAGCTGGATGTTCTAATGAATTTTTTTTCTGTGAAGGTTATAAGACTCACGAACTTTATGAGTCATTTCTTACCTTATTTACGTGCACTTCTTTACATCTCTGTGGGGATAAAAGCATCTCAATGTAACCACTTGGTCAAAATTGAAACCAACTTGAAAAGGAAATTAAAATTATATATATACAGCTATTCAATATCCATGCAGCAATTTAAAACATCATAAAAGAAATACAGAGAACCACAGAATCAGAGGATGGTTGGGGCTGTAAGGAACCTCTGGAGATCATCTAGTCCAACCTCCTATGAAGCAGGTTCACTTAGAGCAGTTTGAATGGGATCACGTCCAGGCAGGTTTTGAAAATTTCCAGAGAAGGCTCCAGAATCTCTCTGGGCAGCTTGTTCAAGTGCTCTCTCATCCTCAAAGTAAAGCTTTCCCTCATATTCAAATGGACCCTCCTGTGTTTCAGTTTGTTCCCACTGCACCATGTACTGTCAGTGGTCACCACTGAAAAGAGCCTGGCTCCATCATCTTGACACCTGCCCTGAAGACATTTGTATGCATTGTTGAGGTTCCCACTCCGTTTTCCCCAGACTGAATAAGCCCAGCTCTCTCAGCCTTTCCTCATAAAAGAGGTTCTTCAGTGTCCTGCCCATCTTTATACCCTTCACTGGACCCTCTCCAGTGGTTCCTTGCCTTTTTTGAACTGGAGAGCCCAGAACTAGTTACAATATTCCACACATGGCCTTATTCAGGCAGAGTAGAGTCATAGGATCTCCTCCCTCAGCTTTTTGGCCAGAGTCTTCCTAATGAACCTCAGAATACCACTGGCCTTGGCCATCAGGGCATGCTGTTGGATCATGGTTAACTTGCTTTCCACCAGGACTCCCTGCTTGACAGAGCTGCTTTCCAGCAGGCCAACCTGCACAGGTGCATGAGGTTTTTCTTTCCCAGGTGCAGGGCCCTGCATTTTCATTCCTTGGACTTCACTGTGTATCTCTCTACCCACGTCTCCAGCCTGTCCATGTCTGTCTGAATGGAAGCCAGCTACTGAATGGTCCACCAGCCGCTCCTCCCAGTTTTACATCATTGGCAAATTTGCTGGGGGTTCACTTCATCCAGGTCATTGATGAATAAGTTGAGTAAGACTGGGTCCAGAACTAGCCCAGGGGAACACCGCTGGCTACTGGATTACGACTGGATTCTGCATGACTGATCACACCCCTCTGAGCTGTGCCATTCAAACTGTTATCAATCCACCTCTCTGGCCACTCATCCAATCCTCACTCCCTGAGCTTGCCTATGAAGATGTTATGGGAGACTGTCAGAAGTCTTGCAGAAGTTCAGGTAGACAATGTCCACTGCTCCCCCATCATCTACCCAGACTGCCATGCCCTCATAGAAGGCTGTAAGATTCATCAAACATCATTTCCCCTTGGTGGATCCATGTTGAATACTTGTGACAACCTTCTTTTTCCCCACGTGCTTAAAGATGACATCCACAATGAGTTGTTCTATCACCTTTCCAGGACTGTTGTGAGGCTGACTGCTCTATATTTTCCTGGGTCCTCCTTCTCTCTCTCTTTGAAGGCTGAAGTGACATTATCTTTCCTCCAGTCCTCAGACAAGTCCCCTGTGTTTCATGACCTTTCAAAGATGATGGAATGTGGTTTAGCAATAACATTTGCCATCTTCCTCAGCACTTGTGGGTGCATTCCATCAGCACCTGGATTTGTTGGTGTCAAGTTTTCACAAATGATCTTGAACCCAATCCTCCTTGACCAAGGGAAAGTCTTCTTTTCTCCAGACTTCCTTGTCTCCAAGGTCTTGGATTCCTGACAGTTGGCTTTGCAGTAAAGAGTGAAGAAAAGAAGGCACTCGGTAACTGCACTTTCTCTGTATCCTCCATAATCAGGGCACCCATCTCATTCATCAGCAGGCCATTATTTTCCCATCTTCCTTTTGCTACCGTTGTACTTGAAGAGGTCCTTTCTGTTTTCCTTGACATTGCTTGAAAAATTTAATTTCAAATAGCCTTCCACATTACATCCCTGACAACATTTTTGTATTCCTCTCAAATGGCCTGTCCTCTTTTCCACATTCCCTACACTTCATAATACCAAAACTTCATAAATACATGACAACAGAAAAAATAATTGTCAGGGTTTAACCCCAGCCAGAAATTAAATGTAACCCAGCCACTTGCCCACTCTCCCCCAGTCAGGCTGAGGAGAGAAAATGAGAGAAAAGTGTCAAAACTCACGGGTTGAGATAAAGACATTTTAGTAGGTAAAGCAAAAGACACACACACAAAACAAGTAATTTGTTCACCATACCCCACAGGTAGGCAGCTGTTCAACCATCTCCAGGAAAGCAGGGCCCCCATCATGCGCAATGGGGGAAGACAAATATCCTCACTCTGAACATCCTTCCATCCTTCTCCTTCCCCAACCTTTATATGCCATATGGTCTGGAATATCCCTTCAGCTGGGGTCGGCTGGAGTCAGGCTGTGTCCCCTCACAGCTCCTTGTGCACTCCCAGCCTCCCTGCTGGTGGGGTTGGGTGAGCAGCAGAAAAGGCCTTGGCTGTGTAAGCACAATGCATTCCTGTAAGCACATGCTCCTGTGTTGATTACACATTTACATTTACACATTTACACTGTTTAGATTACACATCCAAACTACAGTCCTGTACTAGCTGATATGAAGAAAATTATCAAGCCACAACCACCACAATAACAAACCTACTTTTTGGATCAAATGAATAATGATTTACACTTTTTTGATATAATAAATAGGAATAATAAAAAGGTAGGAATTAAGATATAAAGCATAAATTTAAAATTATTTATGTTACATTCATTTATGCTATTGAATGCTTGTAATGGTACAAAGGTGCAGGTCTTATTCCAAACAGACGTTCTTTGATTTATAAGTTTGAAGGAGAATAGTACTGAGCACAAATAAAAAGCACTGAAATCTGTTGAAATTAAGTTTAGTCTCTTACACTTCTTTACTTGAAGTTTAATCTCATATCTTAGGGCTAAATGTCAAACAGATGTGAAAGTCTCCAGATGTAAGGTGGGAATTTCTGGAGTTTTTGCAAATGATAAACATTGGTCATAATTACTCCCACTTCATTTAAAATCTAAGAGCTACTTTGAATAAGCATTGTCTATCTGTGCTCTCAGGAGCTGGGGGAAAGGTGAAATAAAGACAATAAACATATTTAGGGAAATCTGGCTGATTACTAGAATAAACTGTAAGGCCAAAAAATAGAGGTAAAAAAATTATAAACAAGTGATCTACTGCAGCACATTAGATAGATTTCTCTGAAAACAAAAATATATCTTGCAATATTTTAGCATTCAATAAATTATTTTTAACAAATGCTAAATTGTGCGTGAGCTACAACATGACTCCTTATGACATGAAATTGTAAAGCTTTATTTTATTTTTTTTCCCCACAAAGTCTGCAGTCCTGTTGACTTTAAGTCTTAGAAAGGAAAGTAGTCAACGGCAGTCCATATGTTGGGAGGCTAGGGTCTACTGGAGAATCTCTGGGGATCAATCCCAAGCCTTGTTTGACAGCTTCAGAAGTGACTGATGAGAGGGGGGGAAATGTAATATTAATGAATTAACAGACAACATTGAATAAAGAGGAATTTTCAATACCAATGAAGGGAAAAAGGCACACAAAAAATATAGGACTTCTGGTACTGTGCTCTGGTTTCTGCTGGCTCTGAGGCAAAATGTGTCACACTGAGTCTTGATATTTGCTGCAAAACGTTGCCTAGAGAAGGGATAAGAGAGGACAAAAACTATAAGAACTACAGAAAGGGACGTATACATAGAGAAAAGGGTGATAGAGATGGGAGTAAAATGATTTATGGACACAATCACATAAGGTAAGAAATACTCTGAACAACTCATGTGCAAGAGGCATGGATTGGATGCGGCAGAAGGGTGAAAGGAGAAATAGCCTCTGTGTTAATACATTTGTGCCCTTTCTCTCTCCCACTCTGCTTTCCATCAGATGGAACAGAGGACAGTGATCATTATAGTCTCTGCAAGGAAACAAAAACAGATAATAACCAGTTTCCTATATTGTTGATTATGGGTAGAACAGTGAAATGGGCACACAATGGCTGTATAAGAGATTTTAAATGGCTGCATCATGTAGGAGTGGGAGCTGCACTAGCAGGAACCTAAATTGTGAAATACAAAAGCATATTGACTATGAATTGGCAATGTATTCACTGCAATTTAGGAGAGCATCGACTTCTTTTCTCCTTATTGCAGCCAAATGCAACAGGACAAACAGCCATCTGACTTGTTGGGGATTAATTAATACCTGTGAAGCCAAATGGAGTCAGCAACTTTCAGCAGCTTTGGAGGAAGTCATTTAATGAAGTCACAAGCAGATGAAACCGAGGCTCCAGACAAAAATTCGTTATCCATTGAATGCTATGCAACCTCCCCTTGAACTCAGCTAATTTCCCTCAGGTTTGTGCTGTGAACTTGGCACTTTTCACATCTATCAGCCAGCACACTGCGCCTTTCCATGGCAATATCATAATGTCAGTTCCTTTATCAGTGTGTTAGATTATGAAGTCATCTACTTCCAAAATTACTACACCTAAGAAAAGAGTCTGTTTTAATTCCTGTATAATTGCCTATCTGGTAATTGTGGTCATAGCCATATTAGTCACTTCTCATTCTTTTCATATATTACTTCTTTGCATTCATTGTAGTAATTCTATAACTTAAATACATTACTGCTATAAAAAAAAATCTAAAATTATATTAATTTCTCAGTGCCAAATGGAGTTATTTCTATTTTTCATTCCTAGTTTAGCTTTTCAAAACTATTTTGTTAAAGATGAAAGTAACTCCTGCAAACTGAATATCATTTATAAGTAAAACTGAAGCTATATAGATCATTTGATGCTTCCAATTTTAAGACTTTTTCTGAATAAAAATACTAGAACACTTAAAAGATAGAAAATTCTCTGAGGATCTCAAGGGATCTGGTCTGAGCAAAGTAGGGTAAGTGTGAAAAGTAGCCTTTACAAAGATGACTGCTCTGATGCTCATAAAAGCGATTCATGTTTCATCTCCCAAAGCAATAGAAACACCTTTCTCCTGAACATCCTCAAAACAGCCTCATGGCCAGCTCAGCTACTCTTGCAGCTGAGCTTTTCACTACCTCTATTTGTGCTAGACTTTCAGACTTTTTGCCTCCAATCAATCACCTGGCTGTGGAACAGAGAATTCGGGTCACCAATATGTGGTTTCATGGTTTGTGGTTTAACACATAAATGGCTAATTCATGGTTTGATAGTTTGTCAGGAAATAACTGGAAAATAAATTTCCTGGGCTTCACCAGCTAATGTCATTTTACATGAAGGAATTACAGTGGCACCTAGAAGACAAACTAAAAAGACTAGAGGAATTATAAATGGATAGCAGAGAAGAGCTGAAATAGAACACCTCAGATTTTTCACTGGGTATGCTTATTCTATCAAAAAAGATCCTTTTTGAAAATGCCAGTATCTGTGGGGTGGGAACAGACATTAACTTTTCAAGGCAGGAAAGAAAATACAAAAATTTATTTTGTGCAAGGGAGAATCCACATGAGAACCCTGAAACTATATTCCTCTAAGGCTGTTGGCTAAGAAAATCCTACTTTCCTAGCAATTGTTCTGCAAATCTAGCAGCTGAGGAATAATTCTGCCACTGTTTTCAGTCCAGCAAAATAGCTGAAATCTGTAGCATCTATAACAGACAAGACTATTCTCACTAAAGTAATTATTTCTTAAAGAGGAGTATATTATTATTATCTAAATGAAAACACTTCCAAGGAAAATGATATAACTGGCTATTTTATTTTCTGGATTAATGATGAAAATAAATTTTAAGTGGAGATTTTTTTTCCAATTTAAAGAAGAAATAAAAAAATTCAAAGAAAGAGCAAATAACAAAATTAGTGTTCCATGTTTATTTTATTTTGACTTGGCTTGATTTTCAACTGAGCTTCCATGATCTTCTGAATTTTAGCTGAATTTTGCAGAGCACTTTTTAGTATTTTATTTAATAGAAAATCTATTTCAGATAAAAGATACTGTTTAGTATAAGAATAGCAATTCAGACTACAGAAATCAAATCATATTTAACTAGATCAATCTTAAACTGGCCTTTGATTAAACAGTTACCTAAAAATTTATCACTGCTAAAGTCTAAGTTTATCCATATAGCTATAAATGTCTTTCATTTCTTAGACTGTAGGCAATGAATCTAGAAAAATTGCATTAATATTACCAAGCTATTCTCTTTATTAAAAACCCGAAACACAATGCAATCATATGCCAGCTGTCTATATTTCAAACTGCTCATACATCATACCTAAATATTCTCAACTGAGAGACTTACACCACAAATGTATGTGCTGGTCTGTTTCATTTTATACACGTTTGAACTAATTATATCAGCAAAAGGTCAAGCTGCAACTTTCCAAAAAAAAAAAAAACGACAAGACTTAAGCATTCTAGAACAAATGAAACATACAAATGTAATTTTGCCCCCTCACACCCTCATCTCCCTGAGGATGGAAAATAAGAAGATAATTTTCTTTGGCCACCAGCCAAAAAGCTAAACCAAAGTTCATCATATTCAAGATGTAAAGCAATAAAGCTTTATTAGTATTGAAATATATACAACAATAATAGTAGACCTAGGAAAAAGAACCACAACAGTGGACTTCAATTCCAGTCATTTGAAATCTTACTGCATTGAGGAATGAAAATAAGGTAAATTCTTATAGAAATAATAATACTCCACTTTTGAACAAGTCCAATTTTAGATGGTTTGAAGAGATGATTTATAAATTCAGTTTCTAAACCGATTTCCTTTAAATTGTGACTATGTTAAATTCATGACTAGAAGAAAAGATTTTCACTCAGATCACATTGGATTAAAGTGAAGCGTTTGTCAAAAAACTGAGTCATCAACAGACAGCAGACACGAACTTACATTAAAAGAAAAATAATAATAAATTTGGTGCTCTGTGGTTCAAACCACTCTCTGGTTTCTAGAGCCAAAAGCTTATGCCTTTCTGTATGATCTGATAATGGCTATTGTCACTGGCAAAATAAATATGCTGAACTAGATGGATTTGGGATTTTATCCTTATGATAATTCCTGGGGTTTGGGGTTTTTTTTATTTCCATTTGTATGCATTTTTTCACTATGCAGCCAAGACCTTAAATATAGATAGCCAGACATTAAATTGGATCATTCAAAACAGTGATTTAAACACACAGAGAGGTTCAGGGCTCTATGAACAGAATAGGTTTCTATAACATATATCAGACCACTCTCATTTGCTGATAAAAATCTGTACACTCAGAGTTGCAGAACCTTCCTTCCTGTCATCTGTGGAGGTAGATGTGTGAGTGGAGGAATGGGGACACAAAGGAAAGTGAGCCATAAGCACTAGTGCTGCTGCTTCTCTATTTGTCAGGGATGTATACTTACATACTCATGCACACAGCTGGAGTATCCATCCTAGGAAGTTTTTATTACTCCACATACCTTGGTGCCAACAGCTTTTCTGCCAACATATTTACTACAACCCTAGTGCTCCCACATTAATTCTGTGTTTCATTGCTGAGATTTGGTGCAAGGGAGAGATTTGGTGCAAGGGAGGAGATGAACATTATCAGGCATGACTGTGTGTTCTCAGATGAACAGAGATGTGACTTCTGTTTGTATTTGTAAACTTAACACATCTGAGTAGGATTTGTCTCTGAAATGGTAAAATAGTTGTAGGGTTTTTTTAAGAAAAGTGTTTTATAAGTATGCTTGTAGCCAATTTATAGACTTACACTTTTAGCACCATTTCACTGGGCAGCCTGTGCTGACTTCAAGTAGTGTTGCACTACTAGGACATTAACAATGCCCATTTAAGCCTTAAATCATGTAACTGAAGACATTCCTTGAAGCTTCTCCTCCATTAGTGAAGAGAGCAAGTGATGTTCCTCGCACTACATAGGAAATAAGCCATTTTCCTGTGGCACTTTTCACTCTCTTTGTCTCAAAATAGATGAGAGGACATGAAGACTGTACCCATGAAAACCCTACCATAATGTTAGGCAAAATAATTTATTTTGATCTTCTATGATCTTTCTTGCATTTTTTTTTTGACTTTTAGTTGGGTACAGGGATGTTCTGAGCAATGTGGTGGGTTTTATTTCTTCCAGAAATAAACATTTGCAGGATTACAAATGTATTACAATACTGTAAAGGGGTAAGGTTTTTCCATATGCTATTGTTGCCTTTTTCCCAATCTGGAAATGTAACTTGAGATAAATTTAGTAAGGAAGTAATATAAAAGAGGATCTTAATGAAGGCCTTCCTGGGCAGTTATGGAAATATGTCCACAAAAGCCCACCCCTACAGGGAAGAGTACACATTTATAGGTTTTAGGAAATTAGCATAATTGGTAAAAAGCACCAATTAGGAGGACAAGGGGTGATGCAATTCCCCCTCCAGGCCCCTTCTCTGGAGCCCTACCTTCAGCTGTACTTTGTCCATGAGAACATATCTGGAAGAGCCAAGATAGCACTGAGTCTTGTACCCCCAGGGCTTGGAGCTCTGGAATTTGTTGTGTCTTTCTGCTTAGGGAAAGGCCATGGAACAGTACTGGGAAAACTAGCTACTAATACAATAGACTAGAGAGCTACAAATATATGTGAGGAGAATATAGAGAACATATAAAAGAAAAACAAGATAAAAACCAAACTGCATCACTATGCATAAAGCTGAATTTAAGATTCCATTTCAGACTACTTATTCAAATACATAAAATTGCTCTCTTAATTCAACTTCTTACGAAAATACCTTTTTTTGGTGTTCAGAAGAAAATCAGGTAAGTGGTTTGAGTTATAATTATTCAAAGTCCATGGAAATAGAATTTTTTTCATCCTTTAAGCTCAGAAAAATACTAGCTACATGAAGTCTAAAATTCACAAAGTATTTTTTTATTGCAGTTCCTAACAAATGCACCAAGAAAACTAAAAAAAAAAAAAAAAAAAAAAAAAAAAAAAAAAAAGTAAAAAAAAAGTAAAAAAGCTAATCCTGCTAGGCCTTAGGCACTCCTCAAGCCAAATAACCTGGATGGAGGAGATTAAAAGTGGTTGGTTATTAAAAAGTTCACAGGAAACAAGAATTGCTGAAATGAATGTTGCCCATAGCACTGTTAAACTGAAATGCTTTATGTGTGCATGCAACCTAAGACAAGATCAAAACTTCTGAGGCTAACTTTTAGGTAACCAGCATTGACAGCCTAGCACAGCAGACCTCAGATTCAAAGACAGCTTTTGAAGCTGTGAAAATAGCTCTCTGCTGAGGTCAGCTCTGCCATGGAAACACACTAGGAAATACACTATTAGTATTTCACACAACCAGGTTAAACCTGCTTTATATACACCTAGACAA